GAGGGGGCAGAGCAGAGGAGATGGCTACCCCGCGGCCAGGGCACTCTTCTCACTGCAGTGAAGGTACCACCTCCTCCGCCCAGCCTTTCAAAGCCTCTTTCCTTGTCAACTTCTGTATGAACATGAACCAGATTTTATTTCCATTTACAGGCAATTCTGACATCCTCTGCACAGGACTGTTGAGAGTGAAAGGGTTCCACTGTGACGAGCATTTCCTCCCACATGACCTCAGCAATCTTTGTCAATTTTCTTAGTAAAAAGGTACTGATTTATCTAAGCTCAGAACAAAGTATAACCGTACATACATACCTTCGTTACATGCATGTGGATATACAAACACGTTTTTATACAAGGTGAACTCAGCTCACATATCTAACCTGATGAATGAGCTCCTTGGGGGCCAATATGGGAAGAGGTTTTTGGGCCCAGAGTTTGGAGCATATGTGGTCACACTGCCTCTCTTGTCCTTCACTGAGGCGGAGTGTTTAGCCAGCACTTACTATGTGCTGGGTGCTGCACAGGTGTTTCAGGTATCTGCCAAGCAAAGCGGATGTACACTCTGTCCAAGAGCATATAGTCAAACAGGGGTGGTGAAATAATCACAGCTAAAAATTGTGACATGTACTCGAATGGGAAGTTCCGGGGCCCATGAAGGTGTATAACACTGGGCTCGATCTATGTGACTTCTGAGCTGAAAGCTGACTGAGGTAACTGCAGTGGGGCAGGTGATGGCAGCCTGCCAGGGGGCAGAAACACCTCTGCAAAGGCCAGGAGGCAAGAGGCACAAGGGCCCACAAGGAAACACGAGGAGGCAGTGTGGCTGCAGGAACGGAACAGGGCCACCGGTTGGAGGGCTAGGTAGAGGCCAGAGTATGGAAGCAATTTAAGGACTGAGGATTTGTCAGAAAGTCAGTGCAGGTTTCTAGGTAGAGAAATGACAGGATCTGAATCGTGTTGAAAAGGTTACTCTGGCCCAGCCGGTGTGACTCAGCAAGCGGTTGAGCATCGATCTCAGTTCGATTCCCGGTGAGGGCACATGCAGGCTTGAGCCCCAGTGTGGGGCATGCAGGAAGCAGCCGATCAATGACTCACCACTGAGGTTTCTATCTCTCCCTCTCCCATCCTCTCTCTGAAATCAGTGAAGATATATTTAAAAAGAAAAGAAAAGGTCACTGTCCACCTTGTGGTGAATGGTTGAGAGAAGGCACGAGTGGGTGTGAAACACCATTTGGGAGATGAGCGAGGGAAATCAGGCGAGAGGGTGGAAACCTAGTGTGGGATGGGGACGTGAAGGTGCCATTTACCAAGTTCCAGCTATTGGCGCCACCTGTGGCTTCGTTACAAAAGCCGAAAGGGTAGGTGCGTGTGCCCTTGAGGTTACAGAAACTAAATGAGATGTTAGAGGGGAGATCATTTTGAAATCTTTTTTAAATGGAGGAACCCTTATCTTATTGATAAATTCCAGAGTGTGCATGAGCCCGAGGACATCTTCCAGATGCCTGAGTATGTTCTTCAACATCTCTGCAAGTGACAAGGACAACTCCACCTTAGGAGGCAAATATTTCACCTCCAGGTGCTGCCTCAAAAAGTCAAGGAGATATTCCTTCGTAGACGCCCCGCTATCATCACATCCCCAGTCTGCCATCAGGCCACACCTGCTGGGACATCCTAGCCCTGTGTTCCAGGTTGGAAGCCCCTGTTCTGCTGGGCGAAGGCGACTCAGAGACCATCACGGAGTCTGGATTCCACCGTGGTGGTCGCATCACACTACTGACTCACTGTGGCTTTTTATAGATTGTGTGAGGATGAAGCTGTTTCCTGAAACCCGCCTTCCCTGGTGCCACTGACTGGGGGAGGGGTGCAAGCAGATTTACATTTATTCCCCATTCAATGGATCCCTATCCAGATCCTTTTGAATTCCCCTCACAAGCATCATTTAATGAGACCTGAGACCACTGTTAGTCAAGTCTGGCCTAAGGCCTCCTGCATCTTGTCAATTAGGTTCTCAGAAGGGGAGGTGGGGGTGAGGGGGAATGGGAGTGAGTGGATTTCTCCCTTTATGTCCCCCTCTGTTTTTCCAAACAACGGGTATGAGGGAGGGGAAGGCCATCTCCCTTCAATAAAAATGTTTACCATTCCCCACTTGAAGAGTTCAGATGGTTCTTCAAAATGTCCAAGAAACTCCCAAACCCAGCACATCACCATGCCAATGTGGCTGTCATCTCACCCCCCTCCAGAAACTGCCTCCTCCTAACTGCCCAAGCCACAAACGAACGATGGAACATTCAAGCTCTGCCCAAGCCCAAGCAACACGATAGGAGATCTGGTTACTTAGAGTTATATGGGGTTCTGTGTCTGGAGATCTGCTCTCCCCCGGCCTCTTCAACCTCCACAAAACCAGAAAAGCCTCCAGGTCCTCATTCATTCATTCATTCATTCATTCATTCATTCATTCATTCAGTGTTTACCGTTCACTGCGATACAGGGCCCAGGTTAGGGGAGGGTTAGGGGAGGGAACTCCTGAAAGGAGAGGCCTAAGGAGGGTTTTAAAATTCGGGTGAGATTAGAGAAAATCCAGATTCTGGCCTTACGTACAAACACAGTATTTTATAGTAAAGACAGGACTAGAGACCCAGGTAATCAGAGAGCCCATAGGTGGGGTCCCCCAGGTGGATCAGGCTGTTGGTTTGGGGATGCTAATGTATGAAATAGCTCGAGGGCCAGTATTTAAAACAAACCCATTTAACAGAAGCAAAGTGAGATGAGAAATGAGAAGGCCTATGAGAGGGAGACAGGGAGAGCCCAGAGGAAACGGGGTATCCACCCCTTGCGCGCTCTCTGCCAGGGGTTGGAGGACTTGTCCCAACCTGGCGGAGTCCAGAACAAAAGCGCTGGAAGGTGGGGAGCGGAAGGCGCGTCCGGGGCACCCGTGGGTGATGGGGGCAGGGGAGGGGGACGGCGGACCTCGTGCCACTGTCCCCCATGGGCCCCGCGCTGACCCTGGACGGGCGCCTCTCTCGGGTCACTGAAGGCTCGACCCTGACCCCCCGCCGCGGCCGGACGCCTCCAGGTGAGCGCGCGGCGCGAAGCCACTTTACCTGCGCGCAGCGGGTCCTCCG